TTTTCTGTGCTACTCTTGCAACGCATGGAAACCCGTGGATCACTGACTTTTGAAATGCTTTTGTTCAGTTTTGGCCACTGATACTTGAGAGAGAGGGTCTGTTCTAACTGCTGTACCAAGGCAGTGCAAATCATTACAAGGCAGCAATTGACTAAATTTGAGGTTTCCCAATAGCTGTGAGCTGGTTGTGTTTGTACACAGGAATCCTGTAATCTTGCTTACATGGGTGGAATCAGCCGTAGCTCCACGGAAATCACTACGGTTAGAGTGCAGTGAACTCAGTGTGCAGACAGGGATGTGCCCGTTGTGACCTGCACCTGATTTGTCACTTAGGCCCGTACCTGCCACCATAAACAGGGCAGGGAGCTGAGCTAGAGAGGATCATGATCCTCTTCATTGCGTGTCGGATTTTGCCGCAGGCAGAGTCATGTTTGTCCAGAATTATGCATCAGATTTGAGCTAGCTGTGCCTGCTTTCTTTAGATGCCCATGCCTGTAAGATCATTCCTGTTTTTAGGAGATGCCTTTTATTCTCTGCAGATTTTACTGTGAACCTTTACTGGGATTAAACAGCCATCCTTCAGATAGCTCAGGTCAGTGAGCTCGGGCATATGGAGAGCCCAGGTACCAGCTCCATCACCTGTATTTGCTGATGGTGATTGTTTGGCCCTGACTGTAGGACTATAGGTCACTCCATTGCATTCTGGTGCCTGGAACACTGCAGTGTCTGATGATAAATTTCTGTCTTTCCCCACACAGGTTGATGGGAAAGCGGTGCTCATCACAGGCTGTGACAAAGGTTTTGGACATGCCTTGGCTAAGCAGCTGCATGCAAAGGGATTCACCGTTTTTGCTGGATGCTTGCTAGCGGTGAGTAGTCATATTGATCAAAATTCTCAATTATCAACCGCTTCATCTGCAGCTTCCCTGTCCCACAGCTCAAGACCCGTGGGAGGTGCAGTGAGAAGGGTTCGTATATTTTCCCTTGCTTCATCTGCTTCTTACATCTCATCATTACTGTAAGTCTGAGCTCTTCAAGCTGAGACCATCAGCTACGTGTCTGTGCAATAGCTCACGCAATAGGGCAGTGCTCACGGAGGCCTCTGCAACACTCTTGGTGAATTTGTTAATGCAGGATCGCTATAACATGGTGGGCTCTTCTCTCCTCTGGCATCTCCATTGCTGTCTTCCATTCTCTCACCTGCCTTTGGGGACATTCTCCTCAAATTCATGTCAAAGGTCTCCAATGTGCCCTCTACCTACTTCTATGAAAAGGATAGCTGAATGAAAAAATTACCTGTACCTCTCAGATATCTCTGGGTGTCACCCTCTTATCACCTACATTTGGCAGGTGGCATTTACCTGTTGGTAGAGATCAGTGTAGGTGCATTAAACCACAGCTGATTTTTCTTATCATAGTTACATTACTTCACACTCCCTGTTGCTAACTTTAATCTTGTCCTGTTAGTCCAGCTTTCATGACCATCCAGTTCTTTTTGCATAATTTACTCTTCCTGGTCTCCAACATTTTCATCAGCAGATTTCACCAGAACTCCCATATTATGGAGGGCAGTTGTATAAATAAAACATAAAATACTGAATGAGGTTGGTCCTTCAAGGAAGTCCAGCAGTGACTTTACACCAGCAAGAATATTTCCTTTCCAGTACTGATTGCCATCTGTCTTGCTGGAGACTTAACATCTTTGTTCTTGCCCTATTTGCCCAGCTCATTATATACTTCAGAGAAACCCAGCTCGCCTACATTCGCCGTGTCTTTCATTTTTCTTTTCTTCAGTGTTGATACCAGAGCTGTGCACATTATCAGTGTTAAACTAGCTGGCATCTCATTTCTCAGATCTTTTCATCAGTGCAGGTGCTGCTTTTGCAGTTCTGCAGGGATTGGGCTTAGGACAAAATATTAAACTTTAAGACAAGATCTTAAGCTTATGTTTTGACATGCTGCTGCTTAGAAAACTCTTGGGATACAGATTATCTGCCCCTGCAGTTGAATGCTGCTTTCTGCTCTGACTTAAGTTTGTAAAGGACCTAACGCAGCAGCAGCACAAACAGAAGAGCTGGGTAGGGA